TTGGAAGCTAACTACCTGCCTCATGATTTGTGAAACATATGGATATTCCCAGTAGAAAAATGTTCAGTTTTTTTTTTTATATATACTGGGAATTTCAATAAAAAAAACTGCATGAAATTATTATGAAAGAAACTCTGAACAGTCCCCCTTTTTTTTATTTTATTTTTTTATCTGAGCACGACAATTTAATTGTACACAGTTAAAAAGAATCCTCTTTTTTACTAGTATAGATTTCTTTTTTATTAAAACATTACATTCTGACTCCCACCGTATACTCTCCATCATCCCTTGTCCTACCGCCCCCTCTCTTGGGTGGAGGTGATAAAAGTCACTCACAAGGGCACTGAGATATAATACAACACTAGATAGTGACAAATAGGACAGTGGGGACTTGGCAGTTGTCCAGGCTCATCGTGCACACGTTCTGGCGGACGAGGAAAGGTGAGAGATAACCCCTAAATCTGATTGAAATCACAGAGATATAAAGAGATTTAGCAGAACCTAAATAAACGCCAGTCCCATTTTCTTAAAGCTTTCAGTCTCGCTGAAGGGGACATTAGTCTGACTGTGTGGATATTTAATTATCTCTGTCAGATCTTAAATTCTCTGTGGTATCTTGTGCCAGAAGGTTAAGCCAACTAAGTCCATTAAAGACTGCAGAATGAGTGCTTTGCCTTCATTTTTATGACTGCTTTAGGAGAGGGAGTCCAGCACTGGGGAGAGATTTAGATTCTAATTGATGAAAGTGGTCATAATCCAGCAATTCTTCATTTTAAAGGTTATGTCACTGTTTATTAGCAGCGAAGTTTTGGCTTGTTACATTAACGTCTCTTCGTCCTGAGATCTTTTTACCTTGATACAGTCAAGGTTGGTTTACAGGAATCCAGGACTAATTTACAACTCAACTCCCTTCTCCTTCTTGTCAGCCTCACTCCCGCTTCTCTGCTTCCTCTTGTCTCTTTCTGAGAGATTGGCAGGTCTTTAGGGTTTTAAGGCGCTTAGTTTTCCATGTTCCTTCCTCCTGTCTCCCGCCGTTAGGCTGACTGGCAGTAATTATATCTGAGTTGGGCCCTGGTTGATCCCGACGACCCCAAGGACGTGATGGCAATAAAAAGAGAGAAATGCAAAAAGATTACAAGAAGAAAAAAAAATAAGATAATGAAAAAAGGAGTACACTGAATAAGACAGCGAGGCTGAAATATGCAGAAAAGAGAAGTCAGGAATGATGCACATCTCTGCAGAGTAAGAAATAAATGGAGGGAGATTGGCTGGACAAGGTTACACTTCACTGATTCCTGACAGGGTTTTTTTTTCATATTCCCTTTCTTCCCTCTTGTTCCTTCCTGCATCACAGGTATGAGAACTCAGTATTCATCGTTGTTCACTCGAGCAGCATTGTGCGCTAAGAAAACATGTTTTTGTCTTCACTCCTCTCAGCTGCAGCCAGGTGTTTCTCCTCAGACATCAGCTGTCTTCCTACAGGTTTCAGTGCTCTGCTGTTAAGTTGAGAAATAAACTCAGAAGATTTGCTTTTTTCTTGATGGATGAGGTTACATTTCTATGTATTTTTTTAATTTTTTTTACCAGTTCTGTCTGGTAAAACTGTAAATTCTAACTGTATTGAACTTACAGTTAGAAATGTAAATTCAATAGTCAATAGCTTTAATGATATTAGTTTGAAGCTTTGCTTGGTGTTAAAATACAGACCTTTGATCATTTTTAAAAACAATAGATTTTTGTGTGGTTTACAGTTGGCCACACTGTTTCTTTGTGGTAAGAAAATGTTGTGAATTTCTCCATGAAGTTTGCATGGTTCTGGTTGTGTCCAGGTCCTCCAGTTTTCTCCTGCAGTCCAAAAACAAGAACGTTAATTAGTTGTCCTTACGTAGTTGTGTGTGCGTGTGCGTGTGTGTGTGTGTATGTGTGTGTGACTCGGTGTACTCTTGCCCAATGACCACTGGAAATAGACACCAGCCTCCTGGCAATCCTGCTAGAATAATCAAAAATAGAGGATCAATGGATTTTTTTTTTACATTTCTGAACTTATTTTAACAGGCACACCTTCTTTTTGTTTATATAAAGTCCAGAAGAGTCTTAAATTTAACTCTTATTCTTGTTGGAAGAGTAAAAATGCACTGGGGAAAATGAAATTAAGTTTCCCTCGCTCTCCTGAAAGCTTTCTCTTACATTGTTCTCTTATAAAGATTTTTTTTTACATCAGAAAGAAATGAAAATGACATTTGTTACGCCTTGTTCCACTTTTAGTTCTATAATCAGCAAATCTCTCTTTGTCTCAATAACCATATTCACATTAGCTGACAAGATTTGAAAGGGAAGCTCAATTAACACAAAAGAATTGGATACTGCTTTGAATATACTTTGAATATGCTGTGAATCTGCGGTTACTTACAGACTCGTAATAAACTGAAATCATCTCCGGCATTTTCTCAACCAGCCGTAGTGCAGTCAGAATGCCGTATGTCATTGTTTTTACAACACTTATGCCTTTCAATGCTGTTCAGGCTGGTAGCTCACATTCATTGTATTCATTCCAATTTGCAGGCCTGTAATCGAGAAATCTATGGAAAAAGAAATGTCAAAGAAAGCATGGCGAAGAACTGATCTGAGAGTTGGAGAAAAGTAATAACATTACTGTGAGCAAATGAACTTGGGCCTCAAATCAAAACACAATGTGCCACATAGGACAAAAAAGACTGTTTCCAGTATTCCCAGCTCAACAGTGATTTCAGAATGTACAATTTGTTTTTTTTTTTCATTGATAGGGAGCACATCAAGAAAGATATGAGAGCAATAAAAACTTAGCAGACTTTCACCTAACAAGGGATTTAAAATTGCTCTTTGGTTTGCTACTGGGATGAATAACTGATAAATTCTAAAAAAAACATTTTTGCTCTGCTAAGAAGTAGTGCAGTTGTTCAAATGCCTGCACTGGCACTGACCAGCATTTTTTTTTCTTTGATTCAAGCAAGCACCGACACTTACGTATATTTATATTCCTAAATTTACATCATATCATAAACTTAGTCTGCAGTTAATCTTAAATTTTGTGTCAAAAACATGAAACTTTCCCCCCAAAAAGGATCCAGGAGCTGCACTGCTAATTGGAAGCAAAGTGAAAATACTGATATCCATTCAGACAGAAGCTGCTATCAAATTAATCATTGTCTGAGCCTTCTGCTGGCTTAGACAATGAGTTAAAAAAGAAAGACCCAGGACACGCAGGACGGACTAGGATTCTCAGCTGATCAGAAAAAGTATTGGGATTCCTGCGATGGATGGATGGATGGATGGATGGAGTCTTTCTATAAAATCTCTGCTGACTCGCTACTAGAGTTGTCATCATGGCATGAACTGTATTATGTTCTAATCCCTCAATGTTGTGTTCCTTTTTTTGAAGCCAAGTCTCCTGTGCTATATAATCCTTTGAGACCAAAAAGCATTTCCAGTAGTGACTGTCTTTGATGGGAGACAAGGATCTATCCTCTTAACCTGTTTATTTTTAAAGAGGTGTTCAACTTGGTGCACAGAATCTTCAGCTTGTGTGGGGTTTTGTCAACAACACAATCTATTCCCTATTCATAACGACAGACAGTGGCACAGTGCAGTTCTGGAGAACATGTCATTATTTGACTGTGGGGGCGACTATGGCTCAGTAGGAAGACTTTAAAGTTTGATTTCAGCTTCTCCCTGCCACATGTCGATGTGCATTGGACAAGGTACTTCACCCTAAGTTGTTCATGTAGGAACGAATGTGATTAGGTGAATGTGGCTCTAGGTTGAAGTGGTGTAAGCGCTCCCCAGGACTGGAAAAGCTTTTGATATAAATTCATTTAATTAACCATTTATGTACATATAGAGTATGTATGCCTTCTTACTTTGAAAAGACTGGGTTTTCTAGGAGTCTAGTTATGTCAAAACAGTGTGTTTTAAAATTAAATACCAGCTTTATAAACCCCAGAACAGGTGTTTGCGATTTATTTGTGTCATACTTTGATATGATGTGGTTGTATGGCTATTGGGAAATACGATTTGCTCTTTCACAAGTACTGAAAAATGCACTTCTTATTTCTGTGTCTGTTTTAACCATTGATTATTTTTAATCATTTCTACTCCCTGGAGCCTTTTCTTGAACAATGCAGCCGTGTATAAGTGATTCACCAGATACTGGCTGTCTGTGGCACAGTTGGGTTGCTATTAACCCATAATAAATGGGCTTCTCGCCAATCCATTCACCCATGAAATAACACTGCAACTCATGCTAGGTGTTATTACTATTCACTGTTGTATCTTTGGTTCTCTTGACAAATTAGTTTTGGGCCTAACTCCCTTGTGATTTAACACTTTTAAATAGATTACAAAAGATCTTGAGGTAATGTTTCTCCTCCTCTCTAATTCACATTACGTTGCATTAAATTACCCCTTAGGGGAATAAAAGTCCAATGACTCCATTTCACTGTTGGATAATGTCTCTGCTAGAGATGACAAACCACAGGTCAGCTTTGATTCAAAGTGCAAAAGACTCTCATTGGCGTTCACTGAACTGCACTTTGACCCTAAACTGACAAGTTGTCTGCTTCGCCATGTCACAGCTAACACGTCTGCCCATCCATCCAACATTCCTGAGAGAGCAGGGTGAATGAAGGACAGAGAAGAGTGGAGGGCAAGATGAGTGAGACACATTCCATATATTCATGACATAGAGGTTATATAAACTGGAACCAGTCTGGTAAGAGAGTTACTTTTCCAGAAATGATGTGCCCCTCTTTGAATATGCACTCAGCATAATTAGAAATCACAGTGAAGTAGCTCAACCTCCCAGAATCATCATTGCATCAGCCATCTGTTTATAGCATATCTAGAGTTGCTAAGCAGTGTGCATACATTAGAGTAAAAATCAATATCATTCATTGTAAAGATTTTATGTGAGCAAAGATAGAAAAAGCTGATTAGCTAAAACTCTCCTTTTCTCTCCTGACCAGCGGCGTCCAGCTTCAGTTTTTGCCGTGCCTCCCTGGAGCACACGGTGTCTGCTGAGGAGCTGAGCTACCAGCTGCCGCGTCGGGCCGGAGGCAGCAACCTGACCTGGCACGACAGCCGCGGCCAGAAGACAGCGCACACGCGCACCGTCAAATTACTGCAGCAGCCGGGCACAGAGGGCATCCAGGTAGAAGCATGTCTGCACAAACAGAGCAGAAACTGAGCGAATCCGGTCCATGAAACTAACCCCAAGTGGCGGGTTTGCTCACAAAATGAGGTCAAACATATTTTGGTAATCAAGTGATCTTTAAAATAATCCCTTGTCTGCAATACGTTTGGCATTCTCAACCATCTTTTTCTTCGATTTAGATATCAGAAACAAAACATTTTCGCTCAATGAAAATGCCAAGCGATCTCCTTGGTTTTTAGCTCCACAGATCAGAGATAAACTTCAGAATATCTGGGGATTGATGTGTGGCTATTGTATGACCCAAATGCATACAAGACTGAAGTAATTACAGACAGATTTTATTAGTAGTAAACTGAAAGGAACCGAAAGGAACTCAAGTAAGAGCAACAGAAGAAACCAGCAGTGAGACAAAACAGTGATCATAAACACTGTGAGGGTGTTGTTAGTGAAATGAAAACCAGGTGACAGAAAGAGCTGAGCAAAAAGCTTAACACTAACTTAAGAGTCTAAACCAACAGAACACAAGAAAAACTAAACACATGGAGGAATGAACTTAAGTCAACAATACTGCAATAATAAACAATCAAAAAATGATCAGAATATTAACACAACTGAAAACCAAAACCTATAAAAACAGTCTGCTGCATAAAATTACAAATTTAATTATTCTCCCAAGATTGTGGGTAAATGTTAAAGTTGTGGCACAACAGTATAGCCACAAGATTATAATTGTGCAAAAGAAACATCTGCATCGCTTGCTTCAGGCTTGGTTTATATCTGGTTTTATCCCAACTGGTTTTTCTGGTTAAAATTTATGCTACGTTTCACATTCATGACATAAAAGTTGGACAAAATGTGATATGAATGTTCTGATTGATGCGCTGAAAACTCTTAGATAAGTATCTGATTTAGTACTACATGTAAAAGTGGAGTCAATTATATCTTTGAGGTTGAAGCGATTGGAACTATCATGAAAAAGTTGGGTTTGGATCAATGGCAAAAGAAAAAAAAAATAATGGATTTGGGTTGCATTTGCCTTTTCTGTGATTTTAACTGTACTTATAGGTAACAGAAAATAGTACCTTAAATCACCAAAAATAAATAGAATTTAAGGACTTTGTTATCTTTTGCAAGTTTTAAGAATTATTAACCAATTGACAGTGATTCTTAAGTCTTACCTGGAGCCGTCTGGAGTAAGTTTTCTTATTAATTCAGTTTCAAAACAAATTGAGAGATCTACCTGTGAGATGTCATTGGAGACGAGCCAAAATGTTCAGAATCAGGCCTGCAGCTCCCCAGATCAAATCTCAACCTTGACAGAACACATAATAGCTTTAGCTTGTACATATTGGTGCCTGATCTTGGTTGATTCTGCAGTGGTAGAACCACCAGTGAAGAACGGGTTATGTAACAGTCGTACAAGTGCTGATGTAATGGTGCTTGTCCGGTCTAAGTGAGTCAGAAAGTAAGAGATGATGTTTAATGTTAAATATGTCTGAAATGTTTCTTTATTTTACAGATAAATGTTTCTCACCAGGGATTTAAGTTCTAAAAGCAATGAGTTTAAACACTAGATATAAAACTCATTTGAGTGCTGTCAGGCATGTGAGGAATACATAGTGGCTTATCATTGTAGCGATACAATGCAGGCAGCCGCTGCACCTTTTAGTTGGGAACACTGCTTTATTGAAACTTCCCTTCTTGCTAAAGCAAACGAGAAGTGAATCAAAATGAAAAATGACTATATTAGAGCGGATTAAATGCATCGGACCTGAAACGGCATGTGAACCAACTCCCTGTTTCCATTTAAATATTTAAATGACAGAGAGAAGATAGCCCCGTGGATGTCTTTTCTTTCATTTTCCGACCGCTTTTTGAGAAAGTTTGTAATTCAGAGGCTGTAAAACATACACACTGTGCTCAGTTTGTTTAATAATTCATAAAAGCGGGTCCTCTTAGCTGCAACAGCTGTAAAAGGCTTAATAAGAGACGAGTGAAGAGCTGCTTCCATGTGATTACACAAAGCTTGGATAATTAAAGCTCCTTTATACCATGAGAACTAAAGCTTATCATTTCCTTGTGGTGACAAGCTTCTTTTTGCATTATTTAACAAATGAGAGTGGAGTCCAGCTCTATGTGCATTTACAAAATACCACAGTCTCTGCTCATATAGCTCTAATGATAAGAAATGTGTGTTTATTGGGGTGCAAATGTGTGCGCACATATTGTGTTAACTGCTTGTGTGTGCACACAGTCCTCTCAGGACGGATGATTAGATTATTCTCCATTAAACTGGCTGGGCACACACAGGCCTTAATGAGGGAGCCGTTTAAATAAAACACGGCTCAGTTTCTGGATGTAAGGTAGGACCTGGGGAATCCTACTTATGTGCTTAACAAAGCTGATAAAGCACGTTACGCATCCCTGTGCAAACTCCCAGTCAGGGGTTGATGAGAGATAATAATGGCAGAGGAAGGAGAGGTGGTAGTGGTAGTGTTTATCCATGCACAAACATGATTGTCAATATCAAAGATGTCCACAGGTTCTAAGTGTCACTGGTTCAAATAGAGAGTGGCGACACAGGGTCACTAACAACCATACATCCTGTTTTCAGTGATCTAGAAGAAATAGGAGAAAGGTGTAAGCTAAACAAATTACAATTATCCAGACGACAAAAATAACAAAATTATTTACTATTCTCCTTAACTGAGTTTAACTGTGTTTGGGTTGCTGGATGTGAACCAATACACTGACCTCTCTGCTTGCTGAATTTCTTCCAGATAATGAGCTACTGTCTCATCGGTGCACCTTCTGTGCCATCCGTGCCTTGGCTGCTGTTTGGATAACCAGATGGGGGCTGAGGGAGGGTTTTCTGTGCGCGGCTCATTTTGCTGTCTGCCACACAGCTTGTGGGTTAACGTTTAGATGAGACCGGGGACTAGGTGGAATAACAAAGACACAATTTAAGAAGTCTCCTTTTCTCTGAAGCAGGACTGAGCTTATTACAGGAAGCAAAGCTCCTTCTTCGTACGCTAATTTGCTTTGCCTTGCTTTGCTTTGACTGCTCTCTTTGCCACAGAGCAGTCTTTCTCAAATAAGAAAGACTGCTCTGTGATTATTTTTCCCATCTCATTACCGAGTGCTGTGGCTGACCTTTTGAGCTGACACTGACACAAAGAATTGAATTAATGGAGAAAACACACGCGCATGTAATTCGCAGCCCTCTTTTTTAAATTAGAGATTACATCTTTTAGTCATCTCTAGTCTACTGTATTATCTCTAGTCTACTGTATTCTCACCACAGTTATAATTTTTTTCAGGATCAATATTTCCAATGTTTGTAGGGTTTTGATAATATTATTTTGCATTTTACCTTTAAGTAAAGGTATTTACGTTGATTCTCTCTTAGCAGAGGGCCCTTTCTCAGAATGAAAGTAGTTTATATTATTATGGCTGGTTTATATGCACCATTTCTGTCCTTTCTAATGACATGGAAGCACATCATTTTGAGGAGCATATTCTCTTGTTTAGCGTTGGAGCTAGGTAAAGTCTAAAAGCCCTTCCATTTTTACAAGCATTTGCACAGTGCAGTATAAGCAGAGAAAAAAACATTTTGCAAAATGGTTGGAATCGACTTGCAAAAATAGACCGGTAAAGCCAAACTTAGTAGTTAAAATTTGAAATGGGAACATCTATTTGTAGATTTCTTCTTATGCTCCCAGTTGTTGACAGATTTCTTTCTGCAGCAAAGTCAAGTGTGGCACCTCAGCTGCAGCTCCCCTTATGACATGACAAGACAGAGATTAAAGTCTCAGTAGAATAAAGCAAAGCATTCTCCATACTCTCCGTTCAGCCTACCTGTTACCTGCCTAAGTTCTGGCTCTGTCTTGGTCTGTAAAAGCCCAAATAAGTCACAGACCTTAATAGTTTCCCACTTCTGTGTTTCCTTTGACATAATCACAAACGTCCCACTGATAACAAATTCTGTTACTTAGTTACTGCATTTGCACCAAAGAGTGTTGTTTTGCACTGTATTATTTCGTCTGCATATGTAGTCACAATATCTTGGAAATCACACAGCCACCTGCAGGGAACCTCATGGTCGACTGGCTGACGAGTTCTGTGAAGCCGATGATCACCTTGGTTGTTTAAAACCGTGATGATGAAGTCCAGAAAGTAGATAGACACACACAAAAAAATAGGAGCTGCTGGGCAAAGAGCCAGAAATGCTTAAGTGTATATTGTCCTTGTCCTGGCACTCAGTGATGTGTTGCACTCTTCAAGACACATGTTTGACTCATGCTAAATAGAGAGCTTTGCGAAAATCCCATCTGGCTCTTTGTCCACCCACTGAGAGGCTGCTCATATTTGCACGAGTGCAAACCTTTTTAAACACTCAGAGTCCTGGGGACAGGCAAAAACAGAGCTGCACAAAAGCTGGCCGAGGTTGACAGTTCACACACTTCCACAAAGTTACTTACACAAGAACAGTCAAGTAGGCACTTGACAAAAAGCCACTGAAGCATTTACTGAATCACCCTGACACACTTAAACAAAGGCACAAGACTCGACTGAGCAGGGTGAAATAATGGGGTTCTAAACGGTGGAATCGAAACTGCCAAGAAAAGGGGGGCCGAGGAAAGTTTCTGTGCAGAAAGGGGCAAGGTGGGGGGAGGAGGGTGAAGGAGATATGTCGGATCATATGTCATGATCTGCCAGGGTCTTTGGGATCAGAGAGACAGATTGCAGATCCAACTCTATAATGACAGCAGAGCAAGAGTTCGATGGGCACCAAAGATTGGAGAAAGGGAAGGAGTTGTTTGGTCAGACAGCAGATTGCAGGGATGATAGAGGAGGAGTGTTTAGTATCCTGCTGAGGGATGAAGTGACACAGAGGGAAGATTTACAGCCGAGAGAGAAAGTAAGAAGGCAGTACATGATGTGCATACCACAAAAAAAAAAAAAAAAATCAATGTATTCATCCTTGTACTGTAGAATTTTTACTGCTGATTAACACTGAATCGATCGTCAATCTCACACAGGGTCTAACAGGCAGCCATCGGAAGAGGTGTGTTATCGGTCGCAAAGAATGAATTTAGCACATTCCCCACGCTCTCTTGACTTCCAGCTAATCTCTAATTAACTACACACGAAGACACTGCAAACACACACGCGCACGCACAAAATTACTAAGGGAGGACAGAGCTCACAGAAGTCAAGGTAATGCGCAGACCGAACAGACAAGAAGATGAAAAAGGAAGAAAAAAAAAAGATGTGGAGTGAGAGTGTCAGGCAGAGGAGCCTGAGATTTATGTGAACTGAGTAGAGGAGGATATGGGACATGATGGATCAAAAGGAGCAGTGAATGGCAAAAAATGCTGTTTCAGTATACAAACAGAATGATCAATAGGGAAGAACTGAGAAAGTCAGAGGGACTAGGGTGGAATGCACAAAACATACTCTGAAATACTGATATATGAACCTGCACATTTTTATTCAGAATTTATCGGGCGTCTATTTTAAATCAAAATAGTCTAGTCTCTGAAATACTGATATATGAACCTACATATTTTTATTCAGAATTTATCGGCATCTATTTTAAATCAAAATAGTCTAGTCTCTGAAATACTGATATATGAACCTACATATTTTTATTCAGAATTTATCGGGCGTCTATTTTAAATCAAAATAGTCTAGTCTCTGAAACAGCATAATGAGTTAAATATTTAGAATTAACAAACCACGTTTGCTTTCAGCCTACATCGATCAACTCCTACTTTGAAAGCTCGACACTTTCTCCTTTCTGGATTTCACGTGTAATTCTTTGAGTGATACTGTACCTTAAAATAGCAGTCAGACCTTTTCAACTATTTCACATTTTTGTCATGTTACAACTTCAAACGCCAATGTAGTTTGGGGGAATTTTATGGAGCGGGGAGATCAGATGAAAGGCCCATGATGGAGGAAATACAGAAATCCACAACTCAGGTAGGAGGATCTGTCAGCTGTGCGTGCTGAGAGATCTATATATGTGGCCTTTATGGAAGAGAGTCGAGAGGAAAGCTTTTCTAAAAAGAAATCCTATTTATAGTTTCCCTCAAGCCATATAGAAGACACAGTAAACCCTTAGAGGAAGGTGCTTTAGACAGAGTATATATTTGTGTATGAATAATACTGCATTATCTTTATCTTTATAATGAAAGTGGTGCAGGCACCATTATGGACTCTTCACTACGGGGCTGAGAGGCAGATAGATAGAGGACTACGAGAAATTCATGTTCAGCAAGACAACAACGCTTTAATGACTATTATTGTCTCAAGTTATTTAACATCTTATTACAACCAATCAGGAGCTTCATGCTTGAGATAAAATATCTCAGATACCTGGTCTGATGAAGTGTCATTGATTATTTCTGTACATAAGCTTTATTCATTTCTTTATTTAATTATTTTTCATAATGTCTTGAGACATTTGTTGTGAATTGGCATTGTATAAATAAACGTAGTTAGCAAGTGTTGCATTAAAAAAACAGAATAAGAACTTGTCATATAAGAGTTTGTCTTTCTCCAGATAGATTTGTATTTTTCTGCAACTGCCAGCTTTTTCCCGTCTTCTCCCCAGTCCATATCCTCAACATTTTATAGACCGCCTCAGCAGAAGCAGCCTCTGCCGTGCCCCTATCCTTTCTGTCTTTCTTCTATATGTAACAAATGAGGGACCTCCTCCAGCTGGACAGAAGTAGGTCTCAGAAGGAGCTGCGAGGTAGCAAAGGGTGGGCAGCGACTAGACGGATCTGGCCAGAGGAGATGCAGCCTGATGGATGGCCAACAAATGGAGCGGGAAGAGTGAGGGATGGAGAAAAGAGAGAGACAGAGGGATGATTGGGAACTATTATTCCATTTCCCTCTTGTCTGGCTTCTTGATGATGAAGGCCATTATTCACACTCAGAGTATAGCTCTAAAGCTCATAGCATTCACTCCCTTTTTTGTCCTATTTTATATGCGCTCACCTTTTCCGTCTGTTTCACTGAATGCCATTTGCTACATTTTTATAATATATGTGCAAGTAGATCTAAAACAAATGTTAAGCATTTGAAATTACTACACCTATGTACTATATTACAAAAGTATTCATTTGTCTGCCATTATAATCTTGAGTGATTTTGGGTGACAGCTTAAACTTTTCTAGAAAGACTGAGAGAATAAAACTCTTCCATACTGGGTTCAGTTATTTGGTTAATTCTACTAATTTGCGATGTAAAAAGGATACAACTGTCTGGTTTCCTGTTGTAAAAGTAATAATTATCGTCTGTTTGTCTTATTTAATAATCCAGAGGAGTAACCAGTTCCGCATCTTCTCAAATTCAATCCCAGCTAATGACTGGGCTCAGCTGTAAATTTTGTGAAGCTGACTCGCTCAGAAATATGTGTGTAATTGGAAAACAGGCACACTGGAGAGGGGAAATGTAGATGTTTTCAATTAAGTCCAATAAAGCAGATCACACTTGGTTGACCAGCCCTTAAGATTCGATAGCTTATTAAAAGAGAAGGTAATTGAAGCCGCATATACAAATATACGGTACTTACTGCATGAGAGCCAAATTGAGATGTGCAGCCTCTCTGCAAGCTGACCATTCTGTTCGCAATGAAAATGTGTCTATGTTGCATTTGTGCATATGACATTTCACCATACTTAATCTCATTAAATGCAGTCAGCTATTGAGCGCAACATTTGGCAGCTGTTCAGTGCTTTTCTGTTGAAAATAAGCCAAAGTCTTTGTTTTAGAGTCATCTCAGCCAGAACATAATTGAATGGATTATCTATGAGAGTAAGTAACTTCTAATGAGAACTGAGGGACAGGGTGATCGTTGTGTTTTCTGGCCTTATGAGCCGGTTGTCATTGTGTAATATCCAAATTAATTTCCTGCAATTGACTCATGCAAAAAAAAGCCTGTGTTGGCTTCAAGTCTGTGTAGGTTAGTGAATGGAAAACAAGAAATGCAAAAAGACAAATGAAAGTGAAACTATTAGATAAAAATCGTAAAAGAAACACAAGAGCAGTTTTTAGATGGTGTTCCTCTTAAGCAGGGGTTGTGAGGTGAACATAAGATGCTAATTCAAATTTAATACAACATCTGTTTGCCTGTTTATGCCCACAAAGTTTCAAACCTTAATCTCACTAATGAATCAAGCAGCATGTGAGCTAATTGTGTTGATTAAATTTGTTCTGTATAAAGCAAATTTATACAGAAATTTGCTTAAGCGGATAAATCAGAAAAAAACATTTTTGGTTTGGTAGAGTTAAGTGTCAGTCAATCTTACAATTTTTTGGCAATTTTTTGACAGTTTTCCTATTACTATTTTCCTGTCTCTGGTTTATACTATCGGGAGTAGTTTTCTTTAAAATTGTGGTATTTGAATGCATCCCTTCATCTTATTTCAACATAATGTGACAATCCTGCATGGTGAAATGAGCTTTATCAGTTACTGCATGTGAAGTTTATCTGGGAGAAAAAAAGAGCTGTATCTCATATGAAGACTGAAATACAAACATACTCACTTGATCATACCCATCAAAAGGACTGAGCTAAAATGCCTTTTTGTTCTGTGTTTCAGCTGCATCCGGGTGAAGCCTTCACCGTCTATCACACCAGTCCTACGCTGTCCTGTCTGTCCAAACCTGTGGTGCTGTGGACTCAGCAGGATGTCTGCAAGTGGCTAAAGAAACACTGTCCTCACAACTACCTGACCTACGTAGAGGCCTTCTCCCATCACGCTATCACAGGTGCAACACACGGCAGAAAGATGCAAGCACACCTTCTTTATAACGCTGTAAATGACATTAAAGAACTGTGATTGTTTATACTTTTTTTTACGACTGTGCAAAAAAAACGTATATAATCAAAATTTTATTGATTATCGAGTATTTTTCTTAGCATCGTATCAAGTTTGAAATTACAGTATCACGACAACCCTAGAAATGTCTCAAATTAGTGTGCTGCTTTTACCACTGGGTATTTGTATTTCTAACAGAATATTGCTTCTGAGTGTTTCTCAGAGTAAACAATTACAGAAATTATTTCATGACTTTTAGAGTTTTGTTTTTTTTAATAGTTTAGATGTATTTTTCTATTAAGGCAAATCAAATGAATGCATTAAAATGCTAATAGGTGCCACATGGATCTTTTTTTATCCTGCAGCTTAGTTTTTCAACTTGAAGGGGATTTAAACTGAAAAAGCTGCAACTGAGATTTCAGGTCTTCATTGTGAGGTGACTTAAAGGGTAAAGTCTATATTAGGCGAGGAAAGGCAAAGCTGTAGAAAGAAAACAGAGTAATAAGTGTGTATTTTTTACTAAATAAAAACCCTACAAAAGCACATGCAGGCACCTCTACATTTAAAAACATACCGGCAGCAGATCCAGATCCCAGACTTACACACATTTCTTTCAAACCTTCAGAGGCCAAATGGTATTTCATGGCAGCACAGAGAACAGATTGCTGAATGGTGCCGTAGGGTCACTCACCACTCAAACTACATTTGCATGTAGGCTTTTGAGGAGACACATGCTGTGTGTACACATTTGCTTTAGGGTTAACAAGCTCGATAAAACTGCACTGACATGGATACAGTTTATAGAATTTGTAGAAAAAGAGGCAAAGAAAACAGCTCAGCTCTTATCTGCTCTGTGATGCCAGTGACACAGCATTGTACTTAATATTATTGTTTTCTTTTGCTAAATTGCCAAATGAGTTCTTGTTTTTGGAGTCATCATGACACAATGACACACAAAAAGTGTTCTACATAATCCCGCATGGCTTTTGTGTAGGATATTAGGAGCTTCGTGCTACATTCTGTGTCTGCACCACATTAGACCAGTGACCCAAAAGTAAATGTATCTATTTCAGTCTCTTTGTTAGGGCACAGTTACAGTGGAACAAGCTGCTTGAGGACAGTAATGGAGTTTGTTGTTTGTATTTACATTTGTGCTGTATATTTATTACTTAAAGAGAAATCAAAAAAGTTAACTTTTTGTGTCTGCAAATATTAGAAAATTACCTTTCAATACTCCTATTGTCATTGTTTGTGAAGACCGAGTATGTAATTTTAACTTGGTTCCGCCACACAGTACATAACGTTTATATTATATATTTACATAGTCTTCATTTACTTAATATATACATGCTAATTATTTTGCCATTTTAAGTTTCCATCATCTACTAATTCCTTAGTTACTACCAAACTGAATTAATGCATATGTAGACTACCAAAATAGAGGACTACCACAATCTCCTTTTCTGCTTATCTTTTTCCAAAAGGCAGAGCTGGGAAATGCATATTAATAACCCCGTGAATTGGGATGGAGACCACATATTAGGTTTGCATTAAAAAACTAATTTGAGCCTGAAGCATCCGCCAGACTTGTTTGTAGCTACCGAAAAAAAAAAAAGAGCTCCAAAATAAATCTGTATTCAATAGTGGTGGCATAATCCTACTCTGAAAAATGTTAAAAGTACAACTGTTAATTTGAGTGCTGTGATTCAGCAGGGGAAAAAACTAATTAAGAATTGATTTTTTGGGGTCTGCAAAGGCTTTCGATACTTGTGGTACAGGTGATTCTTTTTAGAAGGTTTTGTCTCGTCACATGGGGATTTTTTCCTGCTCTGAATAAGTTTACAATAATAAATTATAAATAATACATTTTCAAAATGCAATGAAATATTCTGCTGCAATGAATTTATATTATTTTAATGTTTTTACATCTCTTTACCGAGACTTCCAACAATAGTGAAAGATTGTTTTGCAGTTAGCATTTGAAACAATAACCCTTAAAACTTAGCATACAATTTTTTTTTTTTTTTTAGTCCTTACTGGACTGACTTTAGATATGTGGATATTTTAGTTTTCTCCTTGGTGGTAGTTGGTTGCTACTTCCTCGGCATATCTATGTTCTGCAGAGGTCTGCTAATGAGCCATCGTTCGATCCAGATGTGTTCAACTAAGACATGAGCACTGACTTCTGAGGTGCTGCTGTTTCACTGTTATTTGTATGAGCTATACATCTTGTTGCAACTTATAATGACAAATTTATCTGTGTTTTGCCTTAATGATTTTGTTTTGAGCAGATCTTTTTTTTTTTTATGTTTTACTTATTATTCAGTTATATATTGTTGTATCATCTTTCTAACCAGGCGCTGGCTATGTCTTCGTATTTTATATATTGAAAATACTCCAACCGTGTTTTCAGTGAGCTACTTACTGACAGAGCTCACTGAAAACAATATATCACTTTAAAAAGTACTTGAAACTTTTTAAAGTTTCAAAAGATAATCATATTATTTGAAACTGAAAAGGATTCTTTGCTTATTGCTGCCTCAAAGCAAAATAAAAAAAAAGTGATTTGCATATTAATATGTATGTCCCCTGCTTTAAGCATACTCAAAATGTATCAAACTGTGACCTATGTGAACCAATGTGTGGCATAATTGGAGCACTGAACTGCTACATAATTTGTGTTTAAACTCTTTTTACTTGCTTAGTGGGTCTACATACATTTCTAAAAAAAAATTAGAAATGTAACACTTAATGTTTGGCTTCAGGAGAAACAGGAGTTCTATACATACAATTTAAAGTACTTTCACTCTTTTATGTAAGGAAGTCTTTACCTTTCTGTGTTTTGGATTGCTTTTCAGACCACTTTAAGAGTAATTATTGCCCTAGCCAAGGTAGAACTGCTTCTCATTTGCCCAAAGACACCATTAATAAGCAATTTAGTTTGAAGCCAAATTGAGGGAAGTGATCTCCATTTTTTAAGAAAAGCTTTTGTTTTGTGTCTCTTTTCTCCCTTTGACAGCATACTTTCCCTATCTGCAGGCAATTATTAGGAGCTGCATTAAGGCTGTCTGAAGGGAATTGATTGGAGCTCCATTCATCTGCTTTGTCTCGTTTGTACACACTTATTCACAGCGCAAGGGCAGGGGGTATTCTGGGACATGCTGGTACCGCTGTTGGCAAGCTCTAGAAACGACAGGGCTTTTGAGAAGGCGAGGCAAATACGTTAATGAGTATATATACACACAGAAACGAGTTCATTTCAGTTTGAAAAATACTAAACACATGCACAAAATAAACGTGTCTTGTTTACTTCTCATGAGTTTGTTTGCACAAAAATTGGTTATAAGATGCACATTTTCTGACACCGTAAGCCAAGCAAATAATCGTCCTCTGAACAGCATGAGCATACAAAGGCATAAACACACCATGCAGCAGTTGTGAAAGCTGATAAGTGTCACACTGCTTTTTCCTTTAAGGAAGGGGAGTTAGACTTCATCAGAGGTAACAGTGGCATTGTTTGTAAAGCAGTTTCATACATGTCTTGTTCCATTCTAGACATGTATGCAAAAATTGCTCCTGGAAATTATGTTTGTTGGTCTATTGAGTCCTTCATTCAAACTCAATGCACATTTTTGACAGACAAAGTGTATTCATACCTTCTGATTTTTTTTATCCAATTTTGTCATTTTACAAAGAGCCTTCAAACATTTTGTGTTAAACCAACAATAAGTAGTACATGGCTGTGAAGTGGGAGGAAAATATAAGGTTTCCAAAGTTTTCACAGCATAGTGTGGTGTACATTTGTATTCTTCCTTCCTGAGTCAAATCTTTGTTGAACCACTTGGACTTTGACTACGCCATTCTAACACACGCATATACCTTGATTTAAACTGTTCTTTTGCAATTTTGGCTGTATGTTTAGGGTTTTCCTGCTGGAAAGTGAACCAAATATTTGCACCATCCAACAGATTTTGTGCAAAGAATGCAGACAGAATTGCATGCTTATGTTTTCAGGTTTGTTGAACTATTTTTCCATTCTATCCAACTTTATGTTGGTTTATTCCATAAAATCTCCCCCCAAAAATATAGTATATGGTTATAATGTGAGTTTGAGAGTTGTTATTATGTTTGGCCAAGAGGATTATTGTAGAAAAAAATCATTTGAATAGGTAGTCTGAGTTTGATTTGTGACAGTGGCACTGCGTTGCTCAGAAGTCTCTGCTAGCATACAGTGATAAAAGAAAGGTTTTATTTACTTGAAGAATCACACAGTTCTCTGCAAAAAAAAAAAAAAAAAGTACTTGTGCATTTATCTCCTGAATAATTGAAAATCTAACAAGCTTTTTGTCTAATGCATAATTTTTATCAGTTCCAAAAAGATTAGTTTGGCTTTGTTTGTTGTGTTTGAGTTTTTAGTCAGTTATTAGGGGGTTTCAGGAATGCTGTGTCTTTCTTTATAGATGGTGTAAAAGAACTGCATCCAGTGGGACCATTAGGGGATCCAGAAAAACCCAAACCATCAAACCCTTAAAGCCGTTTTGCACTGTGATGCCAATCTCATAAAATATGACTTCTGTTTCTCTGTTAAGAAAATTTACTCATATTACATGGACTAGGAGATTAAAGGAAGCTGAAAGCTGCCTTTTGATTTTTGTTTTTCTGGACTATCTCTGTTTTATCCCACTGCTGTCTCCACTTCTTCTGCATTCAGACCACATGCAAGCCTACCGACTGCCCAGGGAGGGTAAAATTGCACTAATTAATAGAGCTTGTTATGAGACAGAGATGAAAGTTTATACTTTTGCGGGAGTTATTTAAAAAAATTACCTAAAATAAGACATTAAATGAAAAAGCAGAAGAAGAACTAGATCAGTGAAGCAAAGGATGTGCAGAAATTTAAACAGAGGAAATTGGAATGAATCGAATGATATGGAGAGCGAGCCATATGAGTAATGAGTCCAATTATGTTTTGGATGTCGTACAGAGCTGCTGCAGGTATGATGGATTCCTCCTCTTGCTGCTCAACTGAAGGACACACTGTAGCTCTTGTTACCACAGCAGTATCTGTTCCTTTTTTGAACCTCCATGCAAATAAACTTTTGTACCGTTCCGTCGACAGAACGCCTGGTTTTAAATTCTGTTTACACTGGGTAATGATATGTTAAATGTTTGTGTCCTGAGGGTTAATTGCCAAATACTGTAATAAAATCCCATCACAAGAAAGATCTAGCTATTCATTAATTGTTTGCCCCTGCTAACTAGTTAATGAATCGCCAGATCCTTTCTGTAAATTATATAGTATGTCTACACGCTCAAACATAAATTACTTTGCAGTGGATTGTAAATGTCAGATATGTATTTGTTTCTTTTAAACAACCATGTACATACCCCAAACACGTAGTTCAATATTTTCACAATTTTATGTGTAATTTATGCCGTATCTCTCTTAGACCTGCAGTTTTGGAATATTCTATAGCAAATTGAATATGTTCAATCCTCACTGATGCTGTTTTCTGTTGTTGACATTGAACTGCCAGGACCTGCAGGCAGATGGTACACATACACTCAATATAATGGTGATTGCCATATTATTATTTTAGCTTGTAAACACTAACTCTCTCCCTTGTAATTGGTAAATAAGTTAAATTGATTGCTTCATCTGCATGGGTCTGGCTTTAATTTGTTGTTGACAAATTCTCCTTAGAGGTTAGGTCAGACCAATTTTGCACAAACAAAATCTTTCTTCCAGAACAGTCTGGGCGTTGGTTGATTTTTGACCAGGCCAATCAGCGACCAGCAGGAGAAGTTGCATATGATAATCTTGAAATTTCTGCACTGCTTTATAATTGTAGCCTACCTGTAGCTTTTGCAATGGCAGTGGAGCAATGGCAGCAAATACTGACATTATTGTCTAACTCTTTGAAAACTTTGAATTAATGGGTTACAGCAACATGTAATTTCCCTTTGGGATCAATAAAGTACTTTTGAATCTTGAATTAGAATTTTTGAACATTAACAGCTGCCTCGTTTGGATCAGCATTTCTCTTTTTGCTGTGAACTACGGTTGTTTACCGCACAGGTCATTTCTCATAACGTCAAACAGGCGAATAATATATGTCACGGACAAAAGTTAGCAACTGGGTAAAATGTAAAACCTCAAAATAGTTTAAGCCTCCAGGAAGCAATTGTTTCAAGGGGCTTGGATGATCTCATTCCTCTTTTTCTAATTTAGATCCAGGTTTGGCCTGGCCTTGGATTGATTGTCTTTATGGAACATTCAAGTATTTTCAAGTTTTATCTGGCCTAAAGGTGCAGACTAAGATATAAAAACTGTTTTAAGTGCCAAACATGGTGGTGATAGCAGTCATGCTGAGGGTCTGTTTGACTACTGGTGGTACTGATGCTCTGCACAACATAGACAGAGCAATGAAGATACAGGATGAGCTTCAAATTCTTCAGCTTCACCAAAAACAAAAGACAAAATGACTGGAAACATGTTTAACACTTAAAAATCTTAGTTTTTTTTCTGCATTTAGGCTACTATTTATTGGGTGAATGTGAATATTTTGGTCTAGTTTAATAACTGGTATGGATGTATGTATTGATGTTTGCATTTAGAAAAATCTGCAAGAAATTCACCAAGTATCCTTTTTTTTTTAGAAATGATCGCAGTCTCATGATGTTTGAGACTTCAACTACCTAATTGAAAATTAAAGATTATTATGCACATTCCAGCATGAATGTCACAACTCTGAAGAACATTGTTAAATTATTGAGAGTCCACACTGACACTCAGTGCAACTTTCTGAAAAGGTATATCAGAAAGTCAAGGACAACTCTTAACTAAATTCTGACCTCCTGCTGGCAGGACGGGCGTTGCTCCGCCTCAACGGGGAGAAGCTGGAGCGGATGGGAATCATCCAGGACTCCTTGAGGCAGGAGGTCCTCCAGCAAGTCCTTCAGCTCCAGGTCAGAGAAGAGGTCCGCAACTTGCAGCTCCTTAGCAGAAGTAAGTGACCGCGTAACTCTGTGTTCTGGTTCCTGTGCTTTGTTTCAGGGGGAGAGGGAACGATAAAGTCAGACAAATTGGTTTGAGATTTCTCAAAGTGGGAGGAGGCAGTATGGGACCATGCATCCCTGCTGTGACATGTGGAGCCGGACAAACAAGCGCAATTGTTTGTGATTTTACTGGTGGGGGTTTCAGGAACTACTGCACTGCATCTCAGCAAGAGCTTCATTGACCGCTTTTACTACCCAGCTACAGGGAAACAAGCCCAGGCAAACTCTGATTTCCTGAATTTTCTTCTTGTATAATGTTTCTTCAAAATAACATTTGTGTCCTTTTGGTTGTGCAGATTGAATCAGGGTCTTTTATACATATTTATTGATGAGAACAACCCTGGGTTTGTATTCAGGTTCAGGTTTTCCATTAGGTATGATAAATTGTAAATCTCTGACCTAAATTGAGCAGTAGAAGCGTTTTTGCTGAATACAAGCTTAGAATCAGAAGAGGACAGCAGAATTTAGGGCGAACTGCAATAAGCTTCTAGATTTTGTATTTCTGACGCTTGTTTTAATTTGTTCTATGGTTGTTTTGGTGCATGTTGAGTAATTTTTTTTTTTTTTTTTTACTGCAAACATGACAAAAATGTCTAAAATAAATGCAGTACGTGATCAAACCTGTACTTAGTTTAGGTGTACCGCTTCTGAAATCATATTGCAAGGCTGTTTTTTTGCTATTAATATGTCATTATGGGCTGATACTGCAAACAGCTAATCAGGTGATAAAGGTGGTGTTGGCTCAAAGGCATGCTCACAGTTTCACTTCTTAAGCTGCTGATGCTGTTACAACTTGGCTTCTGCATATCTGGCACAGACTGCTTTACAGTAAGTTTTAAATTCACACACTGAAGACTTTTGTCTGAGTATGCTCTTTTCTATGAAAGCTGGTTTCAAGTAAATTTTCACATCCACATCCAGAATTGGACTAACATTAATAGTTTGTAGTGATAAGATGAGTCATCATGGCTAACTTATTCAATTTTTAAGAAAAACAGCCAAAATGGAACAGTTGTTGTTTTGTTTGTTTTTTAAGTAACTGTCAGCAATGCATGAGAAAACATATTTCTTCTATTTTTAAAAGTTACGTTTTTGTTTATATTTTGTTCAGTAAATGCATTAAAACTTGGAACTCCTATTTTTTTCTATGAAGAAATCTGCTAAGAACATAATGCTGTGATGCTCTTAATAATTAAGTAGGAAGCACATAATAACTCGGCACAGTACAAACTGATCATTCGTGATTTAGCTTATTTACATGTTATAGAGATATTGCAGGTGCTTAACATTTAAAGATATATTTCTCTCAAACTTCTTAAACTAACTTTCTACAAAAAATGTGAAAGTCACACTTTTCTATCTACTTTAATAGAGTTGGTGTGCACATGCCTCCTAATAGCACAATTCACAGTGTAAGGAGTGCTTTTGATGACCTTCAAATCACCCAAGCATGTTAGACAGAATTAAACTCAAAGATGCGAAGCAACTAATAGGTAAGGGGAGAGTATAAATTGCTGTTAGACACCTCCGTTAATTGGGCAGTGCAAACGTAATTTCTCAGTTCATGAGGCTTTAACTCGGAGCTACAAGGGCAGGCTAATTAGGGGACCTCATAGGATGCTTGGTTTTCACAAGTTTGGAGAAAAATGAGAGGTGATAAAGGTGTGGGACAATCTGGGCAGCTGTGGGGTGGAAGGTGCTGGATGTGAAGGTTAAATAAGGTCAAATGTTTAAACTTTTTTTTTTTTACTGTTTTACAAAGTAATTATGTTTTCTAATTCACCCAACTTCACAGTTATAAAATATTACTATATATGGGGTTATGCCCAAAGAAACTTTGTCTGGTTGCAGTAGCGTTTTTGAATCTAAGGCAGCCCCACTTTTCCATCAGCTCACCAATTTTTATCTAAATTCAAAAATTAAAGCGACCATAAGTCATACATTATGCAATGTGTTATATTTAAAAAAATATGGAAAACTAATTTCCCTTCCTCTTTATACCTATTGACTGCTTTGTCTTGTCTTGAGCCACTAGAACACAGCGCCGTTACCATTTATAATATACCAAACTGGAAACGTTTAAAGAGTATAATTTCTGAGATAAAATATATTTGAAGATGAGCTCTTTGCCAGTTTCTCTACTTAAATAAAATTGATGTGAGCAGTTCTGTATATATTTTCCTTGAACTATCTGAGCTGAGTAATGCTGTTAACATAACAATTGTTGTAAAATTTCAAACTAGGTAGGATTAAGCTGAGAAAATGTGAAATGCTGTTGGTATGACTGTGCTGTGTGGACGAGAGAGCGAAGACGAGCCAGCTGGCTGCTCTGTGCTGAATAGTGTGGAGAGGTCTGGTCATGGTTAAATGGAACGATAAGAGCATGAAACTAGAAAGAAAGATGGTGTATTCAGACGGCAGCTCACACACATATAGGCGTTGCACTAGCACAGCTCTGCACACAACTGCAACTTTTCTCCCTGAACGATTCTTCTAATACGCTCACACTTCTGCAGTGATTAAGTGGAGCCGCCATACCACCTGTCAGGCCTGATACATCTCCAATGGATTTACCAAAAATTGAATATTGATCTCACAATGAATTTTACGAAGGGAACGAAAATACAGAGATGCAGCTGAATTCTCACGCAAGCTTGTCTCCGATATGAGCCGTGACACTTTTACAATGCTTTCACGTTATTCACATCAGGAGTGTAAAAGGCTCTGTGATGCAAAACCCTTTGCAAGACGCAGAAATGCTGCGTCCTGCTTCTTTTGACAGAGGCCACAAAATTTTAAATAACGCCTCACTGAAATTACCAATGAAAGATCTGTGTGCACATTCAAATCCTTCTGAGTTTATTGCACTCTTTAATAGAGACTCATTTTAAAGAAATGTATTTTTTTTGTCAGAGGTTTGTTTCCATTTTCTGCAGACTAGTGAAGTGTGTGCCAGATAGGTTGACCAGTAAACTGCGGAGCAATATACTGTAGCATCACTTATACAGCTTTTCTTTCGAGAGTGGTTGTGCAAGTTCAGGCTACCATGCAAATGAAAATTATGACACATCTGGTCTAGGTTGTGAAAATACCACACGGAGGATAGAGTAGTGAAGGAGCCAGCTGCTTGGTTATCATAAGGATTAAAAAATTTTGGTTATGCCTCGTTTACATATCAGCTCCAATAACTCTATTTCCCTTTGCTTAGAGGGAAAGGGAAATAGAGGGCTTTGATATATGTTTTAGTTTGTATAGGTATAACTTCAGATGCAATCAGAGTAGACAGGTTTTCTTTTGGGCTATGGAGAATGAACTCCATCTGCCATTACTTACATTTGTATGGTAAATTGGAAATCAGGTGAAGCAGTGACCATGTAATGTAGTTCTGGTCATAAGTTTATGTTCACTCATTCACTTGAATATAGTCTTATTTTGGGGTTTTCATTAATTTGTTTCAATCATTCTGTTTCTGACTAGTCTGACTTAACTAAGATACTATAGTAAAACTATATTCTGCTGTCAGTTTGAATTTATTGTCTTAGATGCATACAAGGTCAAATGTTCACATACAATGAATATATACTAAGATATGAATGGATAAATGTCCCAGGGAAAGCTGCAACTTCTGTTTTTCTAACCATTTAAATTGATTCTGGCATAATTCTGTGTGAATATGTGGCCAATGTTCTTGTTCAAAACAATATGGTTCATTTAAATGGACTGTTTTCTAAATACATGCCTGGTTTCTAAGATTAATCCATATCAGTCGAGTTTGGGGCCATTTCAGAAGCTTAATGTATGGCTTCTCCATTTACTCCAAACTGAGCCCTGCAATTATTGAATTCTATAATACATAAGCTCTTTGGCCAGATCTGTAACTGTGCTCTGAATTAAAATCAGTAACAACAGACAGCATAAAAGGTACACATTCATATTCACATTCAAGTTCATACTCATTTTTTTTCTTCAAGAGCCTTGTCATTGATTTAGAAAACCTTTGCCATTTTTTGTCTTGTATATGCATATTGTATTATTCTATTTTTAGAAACTGTTTTGAAAGGTAAAGTTGATATCTTCCATAGCCCAGAGCCACAGCGCTCAGAGAGTAGGGAGCAATGTGTGAGGATTTTTATCCGGAAACCGTTGGGACTGAGAATTCGGATCAAAGCCCAGAGAGAAATCTGCCTTCCTTCTTCTGCTGAGGAACTAGCTGTTGGTTTCTCTTTATAATAAAGTGCCAATGCCTCTTCACTGTTCAACATATCAACTTTTGATCAAAGTCAGTTTTCGTGTTTTTGTGTGAAACCATTTGCCATGTACAAGAACCGTAGCTAATTAGGAAAAATTAAACCGACTGCAAAGATTGTCATTAAAATATCTGATCTTTTCCTTCAGCAAAAAGATGTTTTGCCCATACTGATTTGCTGAGAATACTGAAGTTTTACCTCTCTAAAACTCTTTTGTTGTAAGTAAAAAAACAGCCAAGAAAAATTTAGCCTCCGCATGTAGAAAGACGGTGGAAACATAAGAGTTTTAGCTGTAATTGCAGTGCAATGAGATGCTACATTTTTTTTACTCAGTAGGGCTTAAATGAGAGGCAGACCAAACTTATGTAATTGTAAAAAAAAATTGTTTATTTTAATACAGAATTAATTTGTAATTTGTCGACTTGTTATTACATGCAGCATTTCTCATAAACTGTGACTGTCCATAATGATTACTTGGAAAAAAAAACCCACAGAGTTTCTATAGACGTCCATGGAGGCCTCTGGCCACCAGTCGACTAAAGACCTGACGTGGGAACAGTGAATCGCCTCACTTGAAAACAGCACTGCTTCCATGTGAGGCCTGGTGATGCACTAAATTTTTTCCCCTTCTCCTTTCTTCACAGCCTCCTTTGGAAATTTCTCTTAGTTCATCCCAGGATGTGCTTGGCAGTCCTTCCCCTCGTCTCCTGTCACAATACATCTCCAGGAGCTGCGGAAGAGCTGCTATCTCCAGATATGTGAGCGGAGAATCAACGAGTGAAAGCAGGGGGAGGACGAGCCTAGAGACTCTATGCCAACTGGTCTGGAGGATTCCCATTCAATGCAGCCAATCTGCTTATAGGAACTGTGACAAAGACAAAGAGCCGTTCAAAGCAGGGAGACCCTCAGTAACCTAATGATGCAATGGAAGATTATTACTATTCCAGGGATGATCCAGACTTGGCACTGGTGGGATCATTACAAATGTCCCTTTTGATTTTAATTTCGATTGAACCAACTGGACCGCACTGACTGAAATTCAAGTCTGAAAAATTGTACTCATAGAGATCCGCTTTGATTTAGTTAAATAAAAAGTTCTGTGGAGCAGCTATGAGAAGTTTGAGTCTTGTCTGCAGCACTAGCTCTTTGAACAGCTTAACTCTAGAGATCTGGAGGGCAGTTTTACCTGGAAAGTTAAACTAACTGCTGGTCAGGATTTTCCTAGTTGGAAAGCACATTTCCTTTATCTTAAGAATCCTTGGGATTCATTCAAACATTGCTTTATATATGTGAAGCAGTGTTTGCCTCTCTGTCTGTGAGCCACTTGGAAATATACAGTTTTCACTCATCGCAACCGTAATGTGGTGCTCATTCAAAAGAGAAAGAAGGAAAAAAAATGATAATGTAAAAGTAAGAATTAAGAAACTTTTCACCAGAATATCTATCTATCAATCTTATGCCTCTCTCTTTCTACAGTCCACTTTGTTCACCCTTTGCATGGGAGTTTTGTTTTTCAGCTCATCGCTCACTCAGCATGATTACAAAAACTTGAGCTCCATGGGAATGCTAGTAGGGAGCTACAGATGACAATCATGCAGGCATTTATTTCCATACTGTAGAGGTGTTATTTACACTGAAGTACTTGGTCAAGTACAAGTAATGTAAAACTTGTTTAGCCAGTCACTTTATTTTGTACAACCTTGAAGAGTAACTGACTGATAGTAAAAAAGATAGAGCAGCGGAAAGCAACTACAATGCAACAGTTAATGTACAGAGGTATCTGCTGTGGGTAAGATATTGACTGCTCATAACTTTTGCACAGAACTACATAGAAGAAATCTGAACTTTCCCTTTAAGACCACTAAACCAGTGATTATTTTACATGTTTTTATATCAAGGAATTCTGGGTTAGTTCCTTGAGTCGTGGTGTGAATACATGTGAACAAACAGAGCTACTAATGTAAAATGACGGAAACTTTCCATCTACCATACTATGAGATGAATGTCATTCCCACAATAAACCTTTTGTATTGTGACTTCTCTGCAGTGTAGTACTGAAAAAAATTCACCTTTATATATAATTGAGTGTAGTAGAGTAACACTCACATTAATTTATGTATTTGTGATTTAATGACTGATCAAAGGGTTTCATGGGGTTAACACAATGCTCACTAACTGCATTGGTCGGATTCAGCAATAATTTGAATAGCTAGGACTATCTGGTAGCTAAATTAAGAAACCATTTCCACAGAGCTGTGAAGCTCTGCCGAGGGAGAGAAAGTAATTTGTGTGTGGATCTTTGTATTTTACATCATTTGTCACTTGCAAGCACTGGGGGAAAAAATATACATCCCTCTGTTGTATTCTGTTCGGTTTCTTTCCCGGAGATGACACTAAAGTTTCTAAAGCTCAGAAAGCAAGACTGCCAACAATGACAGCAGGCCAGATACCAGATTCCCTAAGTGACTGAAGCCAGATCTGCAGATGTAATTCCGGGCAGTAACGCTCAGCTTTGCAGAATGATAGTTCTCATGTCACATAAATGAATAAAATAAACAAACATACAGTGAAGAAAACCTGCCCATCCAACAGCCATCCATGCATTCTTTAGCAGGGAGCCGCAGGGAAAAGTGAGTGAGTTACTGTTAAAAGAAAGAAAACACGCTGTGTAATTTTTATTAGACCTAATCCACTGTAAATATCAACACATTCGGTTTATGTTCACTGATCATTGATGAACTGTTTCAAATGCAGAAAAAGTACAGTTCGCGCTGCTCTACAGAGTCAAACATAAATGTATGTATGGAACATGACGACAGCTGTTTTTGAATAAACTTATTGAGAAAAACTGTTGACCCTGATGTACTGACATGGTGCATATTTGTCTGCATGAGTAAGTTAATAGTTTTTACTAAAGTAATTTTAAAATAACCACCTGTGATGTAAAAAGGATGCGAGAAAAATCATTTTAAAAATAGAAGGTAGAAAGGGAAATTAGGATGTTAAACACTACATTTTTCTTTAAAAAAAAAAACAAAAAAAGTGATTAATATTTTGTTCTTATAGTACATAATCCTTTACTTCCTGTTCTTCAAACATGTTTGTGCTATCGCTTCATCTCTTTTTTTCAGTTGATGAATATTTAAAGTTTGCATTGCTCTCATCAAGGGAAATGAGGTCCTTTAATTGCTCAAAAGCTACACTTGTTCAGAAACATAAAAAAGATAGTGCACCATAATTTAAAATTGGATACATAATCACAGTTCCTTCTTTCATTTTGCAATAGACAAAATGAAATTAGTGTGAGGCAAAATTGTTTCCCAGTTAATTGCTTACATTAAATTGAGTTTTTGTTTTATAAAATGTTCCAAGTACTCATTTGCATTTTCAATGGACAATTTAGTAATAAGAACATCTTAAATTTGTATTTTCCCCTCCAGTGTTTCCCATTACATATATATATACATCATATTACTATGATGGTTTTGATATTCATACAACAATACAGCTAAATGAAGACTTATTTATATGTAAGTCTTCATTACACATAAATACATTAAGAAACAGTTTGTTTTGGAGGATTGACATGATTCATGTCAGTGGTTGCCCTCAACTCCATCCATCTTCTAACCTCATTTAGTCCAGCAAAGCATCACCAAGGCCTGCATTTCTCCAGTGGTCCAGGGGTAAGAGCTGGAGTTCTGCCTGGACAATTTAACAATCTATGAAATAGCAAACAAGCAACTGAAGACACACACATTATGCACATCAGAGATATTTAATGCAATGTAAGTGAAAAGCTTACATGCACTCCTTAAGCGACTTAATGTAAGATTAATCCTGGTCTTTCAATGATGTTTGACCCTTTCTTATTTTCAGGGTGGACAATAACTTCAGTGAATTTCCAAAGCAGGCACAAGTTTGTATTTTGCTAGCTTTTTTCCAATCAATATATGTTCAGAATTATACATACAGGCCAAAATGCATATATTTGGCTTAATGTCCACTCTTTATATAATCCTGCTTTAACAATTCCAAAATACTTATTTATGTGTGTGTTTTGGATCACTACTTTGTTTAAACATCCAATTGTATTAAACTTTCTACTTGTTGAGCTGAGTCAATAAACTTGGAGGTAGTTCTTTGTTTTCAGCAGATCCATTCATGTCGCTTTGTTTTGTTTTTTTTTTTCAATAACTTTTCTGTAAAATAATTCCACTCGACCCCAAGCTGGATTTATTTTCAGAATAGCTATTGACTATATAATTCAAATATGCCTTAATTTTCCATCTGTTCTGAAACATTATTCAGGGTCCATGAGTCACAACTTTTGATTCTGTGAAAACAAAGTGCTGCCTAAACAGATGATGACTCTGTCTCTCGCTGAAACATCATCGCACGCATTCAGAGCACGCATACACACTCGGATAGATCCAATTACCTCAAGACATCAAGCATCTCACCTGTTAGTTCCAGGGCACATGTATGATAAACAGATTCAGTGAACAGTGACCTTCTCAACCTTGGTAGGGGAATAAATCTGCATAGCACATGGTTGGATGCTTCAGTTAATTGAAATCTGTTCATTATTATGTTTCTCTTTTTGTTTCCTCCTATTTGCCATTTGAAAACTATGCTTCCACAATGGAAGCTTTTGTGAGTGTTCTCTGTTTTGATACCTGTGGTTTATCTGATTCATCACTATTTCCTTGTGACTTTGATCGGCTCACTCTCAATTCTCTGACAGCACAGAAACTGAATGTGAAACACTCCTATGTCTTCCATCTCTCCTTTAACAGCTGCTTGACTGAAGGCGCTTGGTGATATAAATAGCTCAAAACTGTATTTTTTTTGTGAACAGCCAAACTGTCAAGTAGAATGTTAAAGATAGTAATGGGAATGACGTTCGTGGCTTTGATTCGAAAAGTTATTAGGGAAAAAACAGTTATCTCTTGCCAGTTTAAAAAAGGACATGATTGTGCTTACTCAGTTGATAAGAAGAATAAGCATCAACATGTATCGTGCTCTGATGCATCATGCCGCAAAGTGAAGTATTTATCAGACCTGATTAAACAGGAAGCGTGCATTTTAGATTTAACTTGATCAGCTACTAATGGCAGCTGTAACTCAGAATCACCATAGACTTTATGGTTCTACTTGTCATCACTTATGAATGAATATAAAATATCCCAAAGGTGACAAGAAATTTTGGGCTCTACAAATCAATCAAGTTTATTTGTGGGGTACATTTCAACAACAAGGCAGTTTAAGGTGCATTACATCATAAAACCATACAACGTCATAAAAAAAAACACTGTACAGTAAAACAATTGCGAAAACAAGTATGATATGCATTCAGATCACAAGTTTTGAAGTCACAATGATGAGGTGTTTGTTTTACCTTTTTACTCTGAGAAATAACTGAACTGTACTGCCCTCTAGTGGGTGATTTCTGGTCATAAACCTTGACTGGACGTGGTGAGACAAATAAAAATAAATCACTTGTCTAGTAATAATAATAATAATGAAAATAATAATAGAAGAAGAAGAAACAATACTTCATTATCATCAACCACTGTTGCAATAACAGCAGAAGTGGTACCAGTAAATTACAACAGAAAATTTAATGAAATAAACAAATATCTACTTTGTAAGAATAGTAATAATAATAATGGAGATAATAATAAGCTTAAGCATGAAAAAATAAATTTCATATAGTAAATTATAATTATTGATACTCTAATACAACTACGTGTACATAATAACTAGTATGTTTTTTTTAATTTATGCACAAAACTAAAAAATAATGTCTCTCACCCTTTTTACCTATTATTAATATATTTCATTTCCCATATGCCTTTTACCGTCCATATTTGAGAATTCTGCCAATATACTTGGCAACACTAAAGTTAAGCTATGGCGCCCTCCACAGGCGACACCTAAAACAGTTTATTTTCTCCTAAATTACATCATGATTTCAGATCATTTCCACTAATAGGAGAATATCAGTCCATGTTGACTGGCACCAGTCAGAGTAGGAGAGTCCCTCTGTTGTTGTACTGAAACACAGAGAGGTGGCAATGAAACCATGAATGATTCATGAAGTCAGCTGTCTTTATGAGAAAAATGTAGGCTCCCGCCATATGTGAAACATTTATTATTCGCCGCTTTAGATGGGTGAAAAGTCATGTGCACATACCCTGCAGCCAGCTGACAGAGCATCTAATGCATATTAAATATTGCATTAGAGCCATTAATGGCATTACTTGAAATAAACAGGATTTAACATCTTAATGTGACGACCTTGAATTTTGTGGTAATAGAAGAAAATATTAAGAGATTGGTAATGATGACATAAGGAATATATATTCAGTGAATTTCTGGCGTACTTGGGTCTTCAGATGTTTTTTTTCTTCTTCTTCTTTCCAGAGAGAAATATAAACTTAAACTGCGGGTCAAGATTGGTCGAATATTTAGCAGCATCTCGATGCAAAACACTTAACGAAAGGGCTGATATGAGGGGATTTAAGCCCTGACCCTTTTTTTTTTTTTTTTCGTCAGGGACCAGCGCCGTTACGTCGAAAGAGCGGCGAGAGCCGGGCTATATTGCAAGCGGCTTCCTCGGGCCAGAGCAAAAAACCCCGGCACTGTTGTTATTCACTTCGAAATAGACAATAATAACAACGCGAGAGCTCGCAAGTTGCATCAAGACTGTGGCTGCAACTGTCAAAGGTGGAGCGGAGACGCGCATGACCCAACACACACTACTGTAATACTGTACACGGCCGCCGAGATAAAATCCGTATAAAAAAAGCCGAAATAATCCCGAGGTAAGGAAGCCGGGGACTGGACTAACATCCGACCTTTCTTCTTTTCCGTCGCTTCGTTTTCTTTTACTCTAACCGACCGTCTCACAGCCGTCGAAATTACTGCACTAAACATATTTTTGTGCCTCCCTTCAGCTACAGCCAGCGCAGGGATTTTTTTTTTTTTTTTTTTTTTACTCCTCCTTCGTAATAAAGTCGCCATTTTGCTTCACTGCCTATATAAACCATTCTGTATTCTAATATTTTTCCTTCAGGAGCCGAGGACCTGGTCGTGTTTCCTGGGTGTTTTTGTAATATTTCTGGAGGGTCTAAGGAGAAGACGGAGGTTGGAGAAGTGCCTCGTGGTGTACATATTAATGCAGAAAAGGAGGAGGGAGGAGAATGCGTTTGGAAACTGGGAATGAGGTGAAACTACGCTGGATTTCTGCTCGTGGACTCTCGGGATTGTGATTTCGTCTTTTTCTGTCGTCGTGTTCAGAGGAGACGAGGCTGACGGCTGTTCGCCTCCCTTCGGCCCCCCCAGCCTGCTGTCTGAACGGCCCTTGACGTACAAGCAGGTGTGATTGCCATGTAACATAACATTGGTGGAAAAAACGCCCACTTTTGGTGCCTGTCTCCTGACCTCCTCCTCCCGTCACGTGGGTGACCCGGTGGGGCCCCCCCAGGGCTCCTGCTGCCGAGTGACTGACCCCACAGTTCAGGTAGGTGTGGTCGGGCTAAAGGAGGAAAAAGTGGAACACTTTTCTTGTTTTTAATCACTCACATGTTCAAATTGAGCCTGGCCATAGCTGACAAACACCGTGGCAGAGGCCACATGCAGTGGGAAATACTTGTTTGCAGGTTGCTTGAGGTGTCACAGGCTTGTTTTTATTATAACTTTTAGGATGGTGTCAAATAATCTTTTATGGAATTATTTATTGTATTTGGCACGTTATTGTTCCTGATTAAAAAACAAAAACATGAGCGTAAAAATGTTGATATCCAATTTGTTTTATTTTAAAATAGAAGGGGTGTT